GAGGCCGTATAAGAAACGGTTCTCAGAACCACCTGTGTACTGCCAGAATTTCCGATCGAGGGAATTGGAAATTCTGGCTGTACACAGGCTAAAGCATCACATCGGCTCTTTAGATTTAGAGCCACCCGGTTCTTTTTAGAAGCACCAGATCTTAAATAGTCAATGACCAACAATTAGTGTCCTTTTCTTGTCTTTTTAACTGTAAGTTCTGCTAAAATTGTGATCTTCATATTTAGTTAGAAGCGCAAAAATACTTGGCTACAAGACGGAGCCTCTCTATGGGTGCTCACGGTCTTCGTTTTCTACGTGATTATTTTGCAAATCTTGGTTTTTTTTTTAGGAAGATCTTTGTTTTTCGGATTGAAATGGTTTAAAATTTTATTCATTGTTATTCACAGTTGATAAATATTTCACTTCAAAAGAAAATTGCATAACTCACTGTTTAAATTCACGAAAAGCAATATATGCATCTTATTAGACGTTTTGTTGTGTAGTATCCCTAAGTATTTTTACGAGTTGTGCCGTATTTTGAAGAGCCTGTAGGGCGAGTAAAAATACAAACAACGAGTAAAAAATACTCGGTGATAGTGCACAACAAAACTTCTTATAAGAGATTTCTTATCCAACACGCCAAATTGTTATTTAAGTGCGGGCGAATTTCGCGGATATTTCTGGAGTACAAATATCGCGTGATCTTTGTACTCGTCTTTTTTGTACTCTACGAAGCACAGCTGGATAAGAAAAACAGTTATTGAAAACAATAAAGGATCAAAGGCGTAGCCAGGGGGGGTCCTGGGGTGCCCGTGACCCCCCCCCCCCCTTGGTAGGCCTTCTTTAGAGCAAACAACCAACAATATTCAGGTGGCGAAAAAGCCATGACAATATCTTGGCCGAAAAAGCCATTGTTGAAAAGCCCACTTTTTTAAAATTTGTTTTTTTTGTGAAGTATTTTTGTCAACGGCTCTTGTATTCAGTTAATATGGGCCTTCATGCAGCGTTAATACGACTGAGCCCGCTGATACACACGGGAGAGCAGCGGTGTAAATGGTGAGTAGCCTCTGTGACCCCCCCTTTGGAAAATCCTGGCTACGCCCCTGAGAACTGTTGGATTCTTTGGCGAAGTTCTGTTTGTTCAGTGTTCTATGCCATTTACGACATTCGAAGACTGGGTTTTCTTTGCGCGATCCCACAAGTTTGTAGCTTTAACATACACAACTAACCTGTTGACTTGAAATGAGTGTCATTCTACCCTCCCACCTTTTAAGTCATGTCAGTACTACACCATGTCCGCATTTCTCCTTTTTCTAATGCCTCTTTCTCTGCGGCTTCGAATTTCAGTTGCTTCAGCGTCAATATATTCGACATGCTCGCTTTCAACAGGGGACTCTTTTTGCAGCTAGTCATTCTGTTCTGGTCAAATACCAAAATTCAGAAATAACAGATATTTCAACTCCATCGCGTAAAATGCCTGGACATTATTAATTATTCATAAATACTGAAGTGGGAGATTTGAATGCGCCTTGAAAAGCCCAGAACATAGTTATGCCTAGCATAAGAGAAGAAAGGGCCGAAACTAGCGAAGCAGTGTTGATAAAAGTCGCTTTCCGGCATTTGTCAGAAGCAATGAGTGAGAAACCCAAAAGCGGCTTTTTGAAGAGGAAGGGTTTATCTTTAATTTAAGCTTAAAAATAGGAAGTTTGAGAAAGTATAAGGACTACTCCTGACGAA